GGGCGCTGATGCATCGGTCTGCCTGATAGTAGCATACATTAATTCAGGCATTGTGTTAGTCGAACCTTGGTTCAGCGGAACAGTGGAGTGAACGCTCTAAGAAGATTTGTGTAATGTTTTATCCAGGCGCAGAGCTTTGCCCAATGTGTGACAATTCTTGAGAACCCTAGTATTTTTCTTTCTATACCAGTGTCTCACTGCTTCTCGTTTGAGACTGCGCCCATGGCGGATTACAAGGTCACCTTCATGAAGCCCATTGCTATGGTGCTCACAAAGTACCTTGTCCTCTGGTGGAACTTTACAGGATTAAACCTTTGTTCATCCTTCGGGTTGCAGGAACGCTTCTCATTTTCAGTGTGGTCACACGATTATCTTATTTTTCAGACTCTCTCGCATGCCCAACCCCAGTTATGGTGTTGGCATCATTTCACGCGGGCTCTATTTGCGCCTCTTTGCTCTAAAACATAGTCAGCGAATACTCATCGCTTTCGAATTTGCAATACGGAATCCACTAGTCCCTCTGACTTTCCGCGCATCTGGTGGAACACTAGTGGTGGCTACTTTACCGACTATCCCGTTCTTCGGGCGAGAAGACCATGTTGTGTTCATGCGATCACATGACTAATAAACGCATAAAACTGATGGATGAGCCTGGCCGCTTTATCCTGTGCCAAGGGCGCGGTTTCGTGTTTGTATATGGAACCGCGCGACCCTTGCAGTATCCATCCATCGCAACGAGACTGGACCTTAGCGTAGTGCGAAGATTTGCTTACCCCCGTGATCCATTGATCTATGCTGGGTGGTACTTTCCAAGTGCCTTTAGAGCCAAACTGGTAAATGATTAGGGGTCAGACTAACTCACTTTCACAATCCAATCCTCTTCGGAGATTATGGAGAGGTCGATGGCGCTGGTCCTTTAAAACGTAGCCATGGGAGACAACAGATCGACGGGTTATGAGCTCACGGCTCCATCGGTCGTAAAACACATGTTCATTGTTCCAAATTTTCAAAGGCTGTGTGTGACAGGCTTCGAGCAGCTCCCAATCTGTCTCTGCAATCACACTCTAGAGCTGGACTTGCTCCCTCCTCACTGCCTTGTGGATCAGGCTGTTGAGCCAAAGGCTTTGGGTGGATCCCCTAAGCGAACCTCCAAATCCCCCACTGCCTTGTGGACCAGGTTATTGAGTCAAAGGCTAGAGGTAGGGCACTTCGAACGAAATCTCTCTCTCGGAATGCGCAGCCGGAGAGGATCATCTGTCCTCTCGATCACGTCGACAATTCCCCCTCTTCTTATTATTCTCTCCCCCCTCTTCTACTTCGCAGCTACTTTTGCCATCGATACTCGTAACTCTACCATCAAACCACGAGTATCATTTCAAATCGGTTATTCTAACATCCGCACTCTGGGTCAGGTCGGTCTACTGGCATCACTGACTCTCTTCACTCTCATTGTATTGCTGTATGCTGCGTCTCCGAAACACGCATACAAGATAACAGTGTTGTGAGGCATCTTCGACTCCTTGGTTCTGAATCTGACGACAATGACCAGTCTTCGCGTCTCTGGTGATACCGAGTATTTGCGGTGTTGGTATTTCTCTCAGCAGACATGCTGAGATTGGCTACCGGTGAACAGCCGCATGTGTGCGGTTCGACTTTGAACCTCTTTTTGGGTTAATAAGCACCGTATGAAGACTGGGTGCATTTTCATCGCCTCCGTGTATGCTCCTACGGACTGCAGTCCGGAGGGTACCAAAGATGATTTCTATTATCATTTTCTTCGCATGGCGAAGTATACTGACATCGTGATGGTTGCTGGTGCCATGACTGCCCATTTGAGTCGTCTTTCAGACTATGAACAACACCTGGGAGGGCTCTTCGGGGTTGTTGCATGGTGAACAGACAATGGCGATCGAATCCTGCAACTGTGCATCTACCACGATCTTTACTTCAGCAACACTGCTTCCCAACACAAACGTTCACAGCGCGTCACCCGGCACCCACCGAATTCCTCCATGACCTGGACCCAAATTGACCATATTACCATCAGCTACAGGTGGCGCACATCAGTCCAAGGCTATCGGTCAATTCGGAGCACATGCCTGGATTCTGATCACACTCGAGTGTCTGCGCGCTTGGCGCTCATTCTTTCCACTTCAAAGAAGCATTTCTCTTCTAACTTTCTTACTTTTAACCTGAACTCGCAGTCTACAGTCCCACAATATCATAACGAACTGGACCACTAATTGTCAGTGATGAATGAACTTGGTGAGCCGAATGCTGACTGCAATCGTCTCAGGTGTGTCATGGTGAATGCCTTTGACACTTGCTGTGCACCAGACTTGAGACGTTCAAACTGAATGGATCTCTGAAGTATCCATCAGTTTGACCGAAGTGCTTAAACGGGTTCCGATGGGCACTGAGTTTCAGCGTTTCCATAACTCCCTGAAACGACGTCTGACAAGGAGTCTTCGAGTTGACCGGGAACGTTGGCGAATAGCAAGGGCCCGTGAGATAGAAAAAGCCAGTGCTATTGGAAACAGCCGGGTGCTATTACATATCATCCGGAACACAAGTCCGAGAAATCCATTTGTTAGCAAGATAATAGCTGATAAAGATGGACTTTTGATCTATTCTCAGTGTCGTCGACTAACCCGTTGGGCGGAACATTATGTGGAGCCGTTCAGTAGGCCTGTTGCAACACTGCCGCTTACAGAACCACCTTAGCCGACTTGGGAAGTAGTTGTCATGCCTCCTACTTTGGAAGAAATTCACCATCAGCTCGCTGTGCAAATAACAAAACAAGGCTTCGGGACCTGACGACCTTTATCTTTACTGAAAGATAGCGGTGATACTTTGTTGACTAGACTTGCTTCCCTTTCAACATCATTTGAGTCACCGAAGAAGTGTTTTTAGACTGCCGACTGTCAACTCTCGTGCCCATCTTCAAGAGGCATCAGCGTACTATGTGCTAAAATCATCGAGGCGTTAGCCTTATTTCCATTGCCTCAAAAATTATCACAAGTATCATTCTTCGACAAGTTAGTTACCTGTCCCCTTGAGGACCGAATCATTGAAAGCCAGGCTAGCGTCCGCCCTGGCTGTGCTTGCATCAACCTCATATTTACCCTTCGCTAAGTGTTAGAGCATAAACACGCAAACAGACAACCGACTATGGTGGTTTTTCTTTGACTTGACAATCGTCTTCGATTCTGTTGACCCCGCCAACTTGTGACACTGCCTATCTGTGAAGGACGTGCCAGCTGAATTTCTTTTCATTCCGAAGTCCCTCTACCGTTATCCTTGAGGCTGTTTATGGGTCTACGGGAAACTGTCTCCTGAGTTCCCCACGACAGGTGGGGTTCGCCAAGGTTGTCTTATATCTCCTTTTCTCTCACTTAGTGATCGAAATGATCATGAACGACTTGGTTTTCTGGACTTTACCGGAGTTGGAATTCTGCTAGATGACAGACTAACCAACCTGGAGTATTTGGACGACATAACTCTCCTTGAGTCTGATGCATCGGCTATGCAAACACTACTGCATACACTTGTGCGTAGCGCTGCACGCTTCGGCATGCATTTCGCACCTTCAAAGCGCAAAGGGCTGTTGCAGGACTGGGCCGACACCTCCGGTTTTAGCTATTTCCGAACGGCCACTAGATGTGGTGGATCGGTTCATCTACCTTGGTAGCTGTGTCACCTCTGGCGGTCACATCACTGAGGAAGTTACTTCGTATATCAGCAAGGGCCGTGTGGCTCAACCATCTATGGAGACGGCGGGATATCAGCCTGTCGGTGAAGGGTAGGGTGTGTAATGCTGCGATAAGGCCTGTGTTTCTGTATGGATCATACCTGGCCAGTTCGTGGCGAATATATCAAACGCTTGGCCGTGTTTGACCACTGATGCTTACGGAGTATTGCTAACTTGGGTGGGAACACTGGGTGAACAATGTTGAGGTCCACCAGTTGATTTTTGGCATAAGGCCTTCTGGTGCCTCACTGGAGTGTTCGCTGTTTTCTAATCGCTTGCTTTGGCTATGTCGTGTCCTCCATATGCCTGTTGACCGGCTTGCTCGGCGTGCATAATACTCCGTGACTGCACCAAGTTGGGCAAAACCTCAAAGAGACCAGTCCATGACATGACATAGAAGCTTGAAGAAATTGACAGAGACTTGGTCAGGATGGTGCGTGCCGTCTTCCTTGATGCGGGACCGGGGACGGGTTCTTTCATCTGGTTGTTAATTTTCGTTCCATTCTGAATTATCTTATGCATTTCCTTCTTGCTTTCCTTCTCTACATTCTGATTGCACCCAACCCCACTATCCTGCCAGTGTTATTTATTGTTATTCTTACGCTGTGAGTTGTGACAACTGGATCCACCGCACTTCGGTGCACGGATCATAGTTGGTCAAATGAACTGAACTGCAGTCTCCGTAGTCCACGTGCGACTGTTGGTGGCTGCGCGGCGGCGAAACGTCTGCACTGCGTACCAACCTACTGCTTGTAGCATTCGGCGTGAGTTTATGGCAAGCTCAATTGATTTCTTGTCTTTTCGTGTTTAGCTTTTCTGGAGTAGTTTGTCGCACCTGCAATCGACCATCAGAATTACGAATCGTGACAGCCCACTGTTGTTAGCCGTGACTACCTGACTTTTGCCAATAATTTGTACACGGATAATCCTGGGTTGTTGGAATCCCCTGGCTGTTCTTTATCAGAGATGCGCTGCCATCGAGTCTAGGTCTGTGATAGCCAGTTGCCTGAACCTAACTGTGACAACTCTCGTACAAATAGCTTGCGTATGGTGCTCCACTTTTGATCTACAGTTCTCTTCTCTATTGCTCTCGATTCGGCCCACATTACTTTTCAGTACTCAAGTTTTAATTAATAATTTAGACTAATGGGCACTTGCAATCCTTTGTAGCAGTCCATCTTGCATTTGCTCTTTCACATTCCATACTGCATCACAGGCTTGACGATACTACTATTCCTCTCGTTATCAGTCTCCAACTTACTCTCACTTAGTTTTACCCATCGAAACCATCACTCATATTCTCCTCAGTATCTCAGTGTTCATGCTTGATTGCTATCACATTTCCGGACGATTGCCTCAGTGCGAGCACAATTTTCCGATTTTTATCACTATTTTGCATTCCCATCTTTCCAAGGTGGATGTGGATTGGATGTCACTTGCCACAGGGCACGTCTATTCCACACAAGATGCTCCTGTTCCTAGCAAACTGAAACCGGACGACGTGTTCTTGTTGGAACGTGATCATCTACTCGGAGATGCGGTTCGTCATAGGACAAAAGACTGCGTCGGAACGGTGGTGAATATGCACATTCAGGCAACTGCTGAGTTGCTCAGCTACAGCTGCGTGTTGTTCAATCTGGAATGCAGCCGTTTGCGGAGTGTTGTGGTACGTGCCTGTCCACGGATGTCAAATGACCGTCTTGCATTGTTCTACATGTTTTGCTGAGTCAGTTGAAAAGTTTTAAGTAGCATGGCTTCCTACACTGCGTGCCTTAATCATCAACTCTCGCATGCACATTGTACCCAGCTATTGCAACCATGGGCTAACTGTACTTGTTGTTTACGCGTATTTTCTTTATTCCCATCGGATCTGTCTTGGCAGTGTCCTTTGTCTACTTTCTCTACCAATTTTGCTCCCTTTGCTCCGTATCAACCAGATGAAAAATCCACACGCATTTCCGTGCCCATGTTATCTTTGTTTGGTGGGTAGTGAAAAGTGGTTTCTACCCTGAATTTTCGAAGACGATCCGTCACAGCGATAGCACATCCGGGAAAGCACTGGACGGCCATTTCACTCCCTCAGAATTCTTCAGCACTGCGCATTCCATCTGCCACCTAGGATTGCCATTACTCATTCATCTTCAGGACCACGAAGATGAGGTTAACCACCTCAATTGGCTAATTAACCTTGCTATTGCGCGACACTCCGCCTCCACTGTTATGTTTCCAACATGCTTGGTGCAGGGTTGGCCCCATGAGATGCGACTTCCCCTGCTGTTCTGCCATCGTCCGATTACATTAAAAAGTATCCTCAGTAATTATTGATTTTCGCATAGCCATTAAATCGAACTGAACTGTTTACGAGAGAGGTTGCTCGGTTCGCACTGTGTGGCTTTTCTTACAATTCTTATGCGGACTGTGTACACCCTGGAGTAACAACTTCCATGCACGCATGGCCGAATAGTAAGCTCGATTCGCTTTTTTCACCTACTGTGCCACGTGTTTGTCTACAGCACGACTTACTCATCTTCACTGACCTAGTTTGTGCCCGTTATCTGTTTAGATACACCACTTGTTAGTTCATCCTCTAACACTCCCTTTGGTATTTATCTCCACAGTCCTCATTTCTTTTCCGCTTTCACCACTTTGATTTCAGCCGTGGACTTCTAGGGTAAATGAAAATCACGTGATTTGGCGCGGATGGCTCGGGCGCGTCGTCGGCTGTCGTATGCTGGCTATTGTTCGCTTTGTGGATGGAGCTCGGTATGTACCCTTCCACCTCACCACAAAATAATTTTTCGCTTCCCTCTCTTTCCGGTGGAATACTCTGTTTTCCTTATTGTAACGTCCACCGTGAACGTTGAATAACGCGTAGCCAAAGATCCCGAAATCAAAACAAGTCGGATCACAAATACTACGGTACTATTAAAATATATACAGTTGATAATTGGGACATACTTCAATTGTTCAGTATCCCGGTGTATGCAAGTTGACAACAAGGTGTCAGTAAACAATAGGAGGGACGAGTTGTCTACGCCGGACAATCAAAGGGAAAAAGTCACCACACCTGAGTGCTACGAGTATTAAGATAATGGCGTTGACCAATCGAGGGACGGTCCAATCACAAGGTGAGAGTTTAATGGCACGCATAAACATGGTGTTTGGACAAGCGACCAGTGACGGGGGAGGCGGTGCGACACATGCTCCGGGCCGAACGTGTCCTGTTCGGCGAAGAGTAGGGTTGGAGATCCAAGGTCGTCGGTAGACGCACACGCACGGAACCAGTGCCGGTGATTAGCATGCACACACAGACACACCTACAACACTAACAATGGGAATGTAAGGAGGCGCACATGAAACGCTGGTCGATATCCATCAACGACCGGCCAAGCTCTGTAGACTAGACCACGAAGCGAAGAGTAGAAGAGTTTCATGGGTAAATAAGCGCGTTACACTTATTGTGTTGCTTTATCTTCGCACGAAATGCACTTGTGGCTTTCATATCAGCGTCTTCTTCTCATCGAGTCGGCTTTTCTCAGCCATTCATTTCTTCTAAGATTCTCTATAGCGATAAAGTGGCACTTGTCATTCCTAATCATCGACTGGTTCATCTCATGTCAACTGGGCTGTTCAGCTGGGACACATGATGCCAATGACCACCACCCCAGTTTGTGCACCCAGTGAATCTACTAGCATTTGCTTTTTTGAATTCCCACCATCAAATGCCATTCACAACTCGTGCACACACGCCTCCGGACCCCTAGCTGTCAGTTGTTTCGCCGACCGCCGCCGTCGATTACTATCAGCGTACCCTCCTTCATTCTGCATATCCCGTTGTAGTCTCCACGCTATGCTTTGAACGGATTGTGAGATTCACTACTTTTCTCATACTTCTGATAACGTTGTCAGAACAGGTTCATCCGCTTCCGCCCTGTACCATATTTGTCTTACGTATGGTACGCTACCGGATAAACGAAACAAACATGTGTACCCGTGTAGTGTAAGATTTTTACTTCACAGTCTCCAAACGGTCGAATCTAAGACCCATTGAAATACGTGAATGGAGGTACGACTGAATATCACTCATTCATGTATACATCCTTGTTAACGCTCTCTAATCCAATAAATTCGTGACCCCCTATCTTCCCTGATAAGGATGATAGCCTCCGGGTTGATACTAACCAGTTGATGTAACCATGCGCTTGAAGCATCTCAGTTCGATTTGTTCTCTCTCGGTTAGTGACGCTTGTTTTATGCGGTCAGCTCTCCCTTTATCTGTGCGATAGTGTGCTCAATTACTGACTCAACTCACGCGGATCACTTGATCACGATCGGACGTGATCCGAGTGATGGCACACCGCGACCGTTCACCAGTTGTGGCTCCAAGTACTCACTTGTGGAGGTATAAGTGTACCGGGTTGTTATTGCGTCGTGAGGCAACCTTGCACACGCCGAGTCAGGCTTATCTTACCACGTTTTGTGTGTGCGATCTCCTCATTTCTTGTTTTACTTCAATATTTCGCCAGAGGCTTCAAAAATGCTGCTGTACTCTTGCCCATAGGGACCGCCAAACAACTCAGCTGGGGACTCAGTTGTTGTTGTGCTGTCTAACTTTATTTGTACTGTCTGATAGATCTGCTTGAGGGGACCTTGTTGAAGGATCCGGGCTGCGCATCTTGTCAGTCTTTTCGACGCGGAATAGTGCGAAGCAGACTAGACATATTGTATTCCATTATCATTCAATGAATTTTTCAAACTCCTCACTTTTTCTTTTTGGTACTTACCATGTCTGGGCTGCCAGTCATGGCGAATGTGGTGCGACGTTTTTCTACCTGTGAAACTGGATGCCGTTCTATCCATTTAAGGTCGCCAAGCAACTGATCGAACCTAAGTGGCCAGCATGTACCCTGTACCAGAGCCTCTCTGTTCGCCGCTACAGGTTGCTATGTCTGACATAGTTCGGATTTTTCCGCACCTCCGACATGTTGGTCGATTATTGTCCACCTGTAGGGATCATTTGCTAGTGCCTTCACTTTTTACAAACGCGTGTGTGTATGTCATACAAATCTGTCAACAACTGGGGTCTTGGTTTATTCTGTAGAACGATGTGTGAACCTCGGAATTTTCCAGTGGTCGTTTAGGTTTCACTGATATTTCCAATAAGCGAATGATTTCTCTTTGCCTATCATACTTGTTGACCGTTCATTGAGAGCACTGAGTGCTGATCATTCAGGCGTCGCATCAACTCCTTCTTAATGATCATCTTTTCCATATATTGATAATCTCCAGCCTTTGCGGGAGGCGACTCATCGTCATTTCCTAACTCTTCATACGGACGGTAATACGAAAACGTACATGAAAATGAACTAACTTCGGCTTCATCTTCAGGCTCGGGTGCATAATGGAGAAGTCTAGCTTTGTCTATTAACTCGTCCAATCTATTCTCTCTGAGTCATCCCAGGTAGGGAACATAATCCGCAACAAATGATGCTCTTTTATTTTTCACTTTGAGCCGACTTGGCCGAAGACGTTCAAGTACAGCGGCTAACGTTTGCAAATGTTAAGCCTTCTTCGCCTTTTCTTTCAAATAAATGTAACGCGCTTACTGTGAATCGTCGACTGAGCTGGACGTTATCGTGTTTATCACTTTTAAAACACGACTGTTCTTAATTAACAGTGTACAGTCTTCGCATGTGTCACTTGACAGGTTGTTCCATTGGCTGTGGTATACTGCAGCTGCTTGCACGCATATCGTTCGACTATGGTCGTTGAATATCTCAGCTGAACTGATGACGTATCGCCTATTGTCCGATCACTCTTGACGAGTTGCAAAGGCTAGAAAATATTCAGCATGTGCATACCAGGCTCATCTCCAGTTTACGGGATATATCGTACGAAGACCGATGTAGACGATTAGGGCTATACACCCTGTCGTACCGTCTGTTTAGAGTTGATTTCATTATGACGCACTGAATATTGCATCTCGGTCACTTCCCCATGTTGAGACCACTGCTTCACATACGCGCACCAGGCAGCAATCTCATGCACCGATACAAACAAGTGCTACCGGACCTAAAGCAGATAGGTCACCCTCTATGCTTCAGGCGTTGAGTAGTGAAATATTGAAACAATTTGTCTTCGAAAATTGTCCAGTCGAAATCGGTGTCGGAATTTAAACAATTCTTAGACGCCCGCTTTGCGGATTTCAGATTCTGGGAGCACATTGCACCCAAATCGTCTACGGCACAGATTTAAGTATGCAGCAGACACGAAGAAATCAGTGACGTGACTCCACACACGTACTCGAACTAATTGCGATAGAACAACACAGACGCATGTCTACTAGCTCTCTATTTTCAGTATTCATTTTTTTATTTGCAATACACGATGGGCACAATCCACGTTCTGTGGACACCGATTGGGAAGCACAAATGCGCGATAATTTATTATCACAGACTCCTTTTTTGCCTACCTTTTCAAACATAATCGCTTCCCTATACTTACCACATTTTTCCTGTCCTCAGTCTTTTGGTTCACGAGGAATCTCTTCACTCTTTCGAGCCGGTTTCTCCCACCTCTGATGCTTTCCCCGACCCTTGCTTCGAAGGGGCTTGGATTCGTGGCGATGCGTCTGAATTCAAAATAAACCCAGATTCAAAGAATCTCTCCGCGTTAGGTCATTTACTTGGGAATTCCAGCGCTCGCTCTTGGTCGTCAGGTCATCTGTTTCGTCGTAAACACGCAAGTGCAACCACTCATTCCTCTGCCAGCTCTGAGCACACGAAGTCTTCCGGTGCCAGCTCCGTAGAGGTACCCCCGTCACACCCCGAGATCGCCCCCGAATGTTCTGCGGAACTACCGCCCGGGCATCCACTTCACTTGATTCGGGAGCTGGAGCGATCTCCAGCAACGAAAAGTTGGAGTCACGGCAAGGATCAGATAAATAAAATCTTGGAACACACTCCACTATTTTTAAACGAGACAAAGTCACGCAATTCAAAGTGGCTCTGTCGGTTGCGTCCATGCTCCACCGTATCCGTGTTTGTCGAGCGATTCCTCCCAGTGGAGGCTACGGTCCATTGGTTTGTTAACCGGTAAGTTTTTTGCTATGCGTGTTAACTTGAATCGCTCATACTGGTGTGTGCGCTTTTGCTTTATTCCTTCAACTAACTACTATAGGAATGCATTGCTTCGCATCCAGTGGGTATTCACATCTTATGGAATCATTATCTTTGTCCATCCACCCTTAAACTGGACCAAAAATGGTTATCCATGATCACTGGCTCGGAAATTAATCTTTGACTAAATCGACCACTTGCTCGATCGTCAGCGCCCACCACTCTGTGTTCGAATACAGCTGACAGTGACGGTAAGCCCACCATAGTAGTGTGTGGCGCACCAATCAGAAAACAGCTGACCAGCCGTCGATTTCATCTGACTGCATAGATTGTGTTTCAGCTTTCGAATTGTTGCAGCTTCACCAAACTGAAGCAAGTGAGCATTGCTTTGTCGGTTAATTATGCTGAACAATTCACTTAGATTTTCACATGTCGAGCAGTCTAGCATATGCTGAGTAATAGAGCTAGCCGGCGGCCTGGGACCACTCGCGACCATTTTACGTTGAATGCTCTGAAATCCTAGTTGACAGCCTTCTCTCACTTCTGCCCACCTACTTGCTATCGCAAGTACAATGAAGGATATAAACACAAGCCTATTTGGACAGCCTTGTATAATAGTCCCGAGCTTACATATTATTGTTGAATGCATCAAAATGCAATAACCTCATTTTCTGCCCACATAAACTCCTTGTTTATCAGCAACTTCTCATGGAATACCTCGGACTTCATATAGATGGCCAGAATTTGTACTCCAGAGTGTCAGTAAAGTACCTAGGTGTAACACTCAGTCATAATCTTTTCTGGTCATTCCATGTTACTGACGTTTTTACAAAGGTGTGGAGGCTTTCGTTATACGTTCTTCGTTTGCAATCATCATCTACCCCCGCCACTTAATTCTACGGTTTATCATCGCATGTGTCTTACCCCTTTGGGACCTATTGCTCCACTGTGATATTTTCTGGTTTGCCAAGGAAGCGCTTCCAAATCCTAGGTAGGTCATTGACGCAATTGTCTCGGTGTAATGGAATTCCCAAGGCGACCCTTGTTGAGATTCTCGTATGTACTCACACCGATTCATGTATAAGGCTTTCTTCGGCAATACTTACTGATACAACTCACCCTCTTCATAGCTCACTGTCTGGGTGTGTATCAACATTCTCAACCAGACAAAAGTATACATCCATTTTTGACCGCCCAAAGGCTTACCACTCATTCGTTATTTCATATCTGGCACGTTTTT